CTCACTAAGTCAGACACTCAGTGCAGAGCTTGCCTCACACTGTGGTCTAATTTGGAAAAGAAAGTGGAGCTGCTTGGACCCTGGTATTTGGCTTCTCATTGTGGCTGGAGTTTGTTCACCCAGCCAGAGACTAACAGGCTTAGCATGGGAGTTCAGACAATACCACAGCAAATGCTAAACTAGACCTTTATTTATGACAGCTCTGGATGAGTGTTAATTATTAGCTGAACATAGTATGTTCTAGAGGCTGTTTGCATTACAGCATGGGAAGGGCCAATGGCATGTAAAACGTGTGTGTTGGTAGGCAGAACAGCAGAGCAAACCACTTCAGAAGAGAATAAGGTTTTTTTGTTGTTTCTCTTCACAGTTTTTGTTTATACACGGTTTTTGTTAATGCCATGAGGGATTTCCATGAAATTATTTAGGAGATTATATATTCAAACGTGATTTATTAAGACAGAATGGATTAACATGGTGATAATGTGCAGTAGGTATATAGGAAGTGCTGACTACGTCAGATATGTTTCTTGTTAATAGTTGTTTGGAATTCTGGGTTAGATGTTTTCTTGTCTCTTATGAATCACTGTAGCAGTTAGCAAAAGGGAAAATGATACCTGGTATAGAACAGAATAGTTTGCTAGGCATAAAAGGTATTTGTTGTGATTTTAGGAATGGTGGTCTGAAGAGGCTTCCTTTTGTCAGGTTACAAAATTAATATGAGTTCTAGCTCCATAGGATTATTTAAAAGAAAGAAAGAATATTAAAGTGTTTTGTATAGGACCTTGTACTGTTCTTTCAGCTACTAAGCAGCACAAATGTCCTATGTTCTTTAGAGTCCTGAAACCATTCTCTGAGTAGTGTGCATGTGTTTTGTGAATTTCCACTTATTTATAATGAACTACTTCACAGGAATAGCTATTTTTAAACAAGCTAGCAAAACTTTCATTGTAATGGCTGTAACTATGTACTTTATTAATTTACAATCTCACTTTTAATTGATCTGCCTGGAAGTAGGAAAACATAATTATTTTTCTCCTTTGTTAGATGGTAGAGAATGTAGGAAGCGAAGGGGGTCCTGGGCTTGCTAATACTGACCAGGTATTAGCAGACTTCTGAATTAAATCTGTCCTGGGCGTTTGTCCTTGTGATATGTGCATCTTTGTACAATTCAATTATTTGAACATTCTGAGTTAAAAAAATGAATAGGTGAAGAGTGGAAATGTAGAGAAATGAAAATCAATTACTTTGAACTGAATGCTCCATGAACAGTGCTTATAGAAAACACGTGGAATGTGGTGCAACATCTGATTGATATAATTTTGAGGTCACCTCCTTATTTGGCCCTGAACTAAATTATTTGAGCAAGGCAGGCAGCCTCCCCTTTCACAGGAATGCAGGTTACTTTCCATAGCTGTTCCACTTGGGTATGTTTGGTATTTGTGTCAGCTTTCGACAAAGACATCTAGCAGCTTTAAGTATGGTGGAAGGAAATGTTTGCACTAGAAAATTGATAGAGAAGTCAGTCACTAGAATAAAAGTATGCAAAAATTGCTGTACTCTAGGGCTAAATCCTGCTTTCAACTGTGCATAGAGGGACTTTCTAAAAGTCACAGCCAGAAGTAGAAATGCAAGCCACTTGTGATCAGGGAACACCACATCCTTTCCATACTGGAAAAGTTTGCTTTCGTCAAGACTTTCCCATCCTAAGCTGGTGTGACAAGAAGGTGATGTTGGCAGGATGTGCCAGCCTCACCCCTGTGTTATGCTCATTTCTGGCTTGAATAATGGCAGGCATACTTAAAATGTGAGTGTAAGTTAGTAATGCTATGCAGGGTGGTGGTAGTACATGGCTTGGTGGCGGACTCGACGATCTTAAAGGTATTTTCCAACCTAAATGACTCTGTGATTCTACATACATGACTGTCCTGGTGGATGTCGATTTCTGTCTCTCTTGGTATTAGATGAGCTATTATTGTAACCACCTTGTAGGGCATGGGAAGAAGGGTATTATGGGATTTTAGTGTCCCACAATACTTACAGGACCTGATCCAAACTCACTGACGCTGATTTGCTCCAGTGCTTTCTGACTACAACCAGAATTTCTAGGTGTCCTAGAAGGAAAAGGTTTGATGAATTTATAAGCAAATTATTTCACTTCTCTGAAAGGCTGATTGTTAGTGTCCCTACATATCTGATCCTGCATCCTGACTGCTCTGTCAAGTTCACGAAGTATTTGCCTACTATTTATACAAGAATTTCTGCAATTTTTGAAGGACAAAAGAGACTTAGCTGTGTTGCAAGTGAATGGAAAGTAAAAACAGGATAGGCTGGTAAAATAAAGATTGAATTTGTAAGATTGAAATCCATTTAACTCATCCCAAGTGCAGTACAGTGCATACTCCCTGATTCAAAGTCTGCTAGTTATGTGTGCCACAGCACTGTCATGATCCATCAAACCTGCCAGATAAAGAGAGGCTATTTTAAAATTTCTCCTTCAGGGCACGGGGAAGTACTGTTCTTGCAAAGATAGAAATTTATGATGATGCTAAAAAAAATGCAGATGAAGTGAATAATTAATGAATTCAAGACAGGACTGAAATATCTTCCTAAAATGCTGCTATTTTTAGTAGGGAGTGCTTCTGCAGTGCTTGTCATGTGATCCTACTGCCTTCTGAGAGCAGGAGAACAATTTGAATTGGTTTCTCTTTCCCCATGGACCTATATAGGCCCAGCATATAATACCCCTTAGCATCTGCTTCTGTCTTAAAGCAAAAAAAGTGATTTTAAACCTCATGCAAAATAAAACACTAATGAACCTATGTTTATAGATAATCTTTATTGCAGGTGAATATTTCTCATAATAGTCTGTACTTTTGAGGCTGTACAAGGAGGATACTGCAATGGATGTAACTTACAGCTGCTGCTGGTCCAGTAGTACTCATTGCAGCTGCATTTTCAAGCTGGCAAAGGACATAGAGACAATTATCAATTGGAGGTTGCAGGGTCTGGCCCATAGATAAGGGTTTAATGTGACAGATTTGCGCTTCTTTTGCCTATAATCAGTACAGAGTGTTGCTGTCTTTGAGCTACTTTGAACATTAAAAATGACACAGTAAGAAATCCCTCTAAAATAAGTTGTTAAATCCACACAGGGTTACAGTCGCTGCCACAGTGAATTCTCAAGTGTTTAACATGTGAAACCTGTTCCTGTCAGGGATTTCTCCTTACTGAGTGGTAATGAGGTACCCAGTACCTCATTCAGTCAGAAATCAGAAGCTGCTCACTTGCTGTCTTTCTTGCCTACTGGAGTTGCCACATGCTGAATTTAGAAGAAACCTTAAAATCCCAGAGCTTTAGGCACTGAGGAGCACCCTGGCTTTGCAGCTCAGTACCCAGTTTGTACAGGTGCAGAGGGGTGCTGGCTTGCTTTCCCCACTCACATGCGGTTTGCGTTCCCCACATGGGATGTTTACTGGGTGGCTCCTGTAAGGTGTGTAAGGCTCCTTGGACCACGTTGGGACCCCAGTGCCCAAGCCTGGTGAGCTGCAGAGCTTTACTCTGAGAGCAGAGTGCTTGCCATGCAAATCAGCAGTGAAGCATCTGGGCCAAAACACTTTGGGAAAGGGTTGTGAGCTGAGTCTCAAGCAGCAGAGGTGATCCCAAAGCAGCAGCCCCAGGGCAAGCTACAAGCTTTGGTGATATTGGACTTTGGGATGCTTCTGGATTAACTCATGGAAGGTGACTTCTTGAGGGCACTGGAACTTGAACCGAGACTCCTTTATTGTGTTC